TTTGCCTTCCGTGTTTGTAAATGGCTCAGAGGAGAACGTAAAATACTTCTGGTCAAACCAAATAAGACCCTTAAACAGAGACTAGTGCATCCTAAAGACAAACCCCCAGACCTAATATGAGCAGAGTGGCGTCTATATCTACATCTAATGGTTTGAAAGGGGCATGAAGGAAGCCATCTAGGTTAAGAAAGAAAAAACAACCTTAAACAGAGGGGGTGAAGTCAGGTTTCAGCTTTCAAAAACGTACAATGCAGCGATAGAGTTAATTCCTTCCTGCTATAAACGTAACCCAATCCACCATACAGGGAAAAAAAACACCTCGTCTGTTTCAGACCAACAATTCCCTCTAACAACCCTCTTTCAGAGACATAGACAGGTATTAAAGGCTAACAAAGAACTCTAGCAACCCCTATTCCTAAGGGCCGGACCAGTTCAGTTTGCATGTTTTCTCAGCCAAAACAAAGTTTTTTCGGTCCACTCTATAAAGCCTCGAACTCAACGCCAATTCTGACACTTTGAATTGAAAAAGTTTCCTGGATGGGAAGCGAAACGTCTTCAAACTTGGAAACAAAGTTCAGTGGATTGTTTTTTTGAAATAACTATGACCTGGATGACTGAGTCTTCGCCAGCACAATGTAAAATACTGCACTGACTTTTTTATTTGAGTTTTCTGAATTATCATGAAGATATTTCTTTCTGCTCTGTGTTGAACTTACTGCTGTAAAGACTAGGGGTGTAAATAATAATTGTTTTGCATCGATGCATCGATCCAACAGCCGACGATCCGATGCATCGACACGTCCGCAAGAGAATCGATTCATGTTTTTTTTTTCCTCCGGTCTATTTTTATCCATTTGCCCCTGGGCGTAATTCTCCTCCCGTGCTGCGGTGGCGCTAAACCTATTTTGCCCTCCTACCTCGCTTCCTGGTTATTCTCTTACAGCAGTGTGTTGCAGTGAGCTTGATGCAGACATTTTTAAATTATGCTCAACATTGAAGCGTGGTCTGTGCTACACGCTGTGGGTCTAGATACGGCCGAGGCGGCGAGGAAGTGGGGGCGAGTTTAGTCCGACGACGGAGGGACATGAGGGCCAAAAAGAGCGGAGATCCAGGTGGAAAAAGGGTCTCAGCGTTCTCGCGCACCTCGCTCTTCTAGCGGGTCAAACTTCACGAGTTTTTTTCCGCAATTTCGGTCATAAAAACAAAACAAGCCGGCCTCCTGTCTGCGGCACTGTTTGCGGTCAGCTACAATTTGAGAGAGGAGCAGCGGAGCGTCTGTGGAGGGGGCGGGACGTCTGGAGCCGAGGTATTGCATTGGACTCATTGCACTGATTGTGATCAGTATTTTTTGATGCAAAGCCTTTCAGAATCTATAACGCAGGGGTATTATTATTTTTCATTTAATGAGGTTTTAAAAGGAATAGGTGGAGTACAACTTTTCTACTTGTATTATTTGCTGTTGTTTCTCAAAAAAATGCATAACTATATTACAGCTTTCATTGATTTATTTCAAATTTGAAACATTGTCTAGCCTGTAAGGTAAAAAAAAAAGAACCAATTAATCGATTGAATCGTATCGTGGTGTATTCTTGCGTATCGAAAATAATTGAATCGTTGGGTCAGGAAATCGATACTGAATCGAATCGACATGATGGATGTGATTTACACCCCTAGTCAATACCTGCTTAAACGGGCAATATCTCATTTTCATTTTCTTGCCCATATTAAGTTTTTTTTTAAATAAATATTTCAGTTCAAATGTTCAAAAAGAAAAAACACATTTTATTATTTTCGCATAAAAGGAGCCAAACATAGAATCTAACCATACTTGGAAATGACCTATAGAACATATGAAACATTCGATGGAGTTTTTATGAGTGTTTACAGACTCATTTACATTTCAGAACATCGTAAATCTAATTAAAACTTCAGCACGACAGAGTCAGCTTTAATCATATTAAACGTCATTTCCCAACAATTAAATTGGGTCAAGTGATGAGTGGGTAGTAAATTTAGAAAACCAGAGGCTTTTTTTTTTTTAAACAACAAAAAAACAAAAACAAAAAAAGAAAACCAGAGGCTGTTTAAAAAAAAAAAAAAAAAAGAAAATCTGAGGCTGGTTAATAAAAACGTTAATGTCAAGCCCTGAATTGCAGAGATGAGACGGTTTGTATTAAATACTTTTAAATGCAACACTTTCGAAAACTCTGTGACATATTTATCAGAGGGGTGTATTATTTTGCTTTCATGCACATTTTTTTTTTTTTTAACAGACACCAGTCAGCTGTTTAGGCAAAAAACAAACAAAAAAAAGCAGATTTTTTCTGCAAACTCTACTGTCAGATAGGCGAAGTTAGCACTGACAACATCGAGGCAATAAAAATATGATGGTTAAGATCTGGAAGCAGCTTTTCTTCTTTTCCTCTCTTCTCTCTCTCTATATTGGAGCCACTGGCAGATATGCACCATAATGTGGAGGACTTGCTCAGTCACATCACACAGATTAGCAGACGAATGACGTTTTTACACCGCGGCACGTTTTATGAGAAGCAGGACACTGAAGATGCCGGTGCATAGCCAGAACATTTACGCGCTTTAGTTTTTAGGAGATTGAAAAAAAACTGAAATGGAGGAAATACTGGAAATGTAAGACTGGTAGAAATGAAAAAAATAAATAATGAGATTCTTTAGATTTTTTTATAGACCTGTTTTTAAATAAGATACCTGATAAATAAGTTGAAACATTCTTGAGGCTAAACCAGGACGAAAAAACAAAAAAAAAAAGCGACAAGTGTTATCAATGAATCCCACTTAATGAAAGCTGAAGTAAAGGTCCTTGTCGTGTGCGCGTCGACAGCCGCGGTGCGCCCGGATTCTCAGCCCGACACCACGCAGCAGAGCCCCGGGAAGCGCCTCTTCCTCTGCTGGATCAGCGGCTGGGGAGTCAGGTTTAACAAGCTGCTGTCATCTGCAACAGAAAACAGACATCTTTGTTCCAATCAGAGATTCATAAAAACCTGCTGCTGCGAAGAGGCTGATTAACAGCATGGAGGTTTAAAGATTAGCAGCATAAAGATCAGACTATGAAGTTAAGATTTTATCTAATTAAATTCATTTATAATTATAGTAAAAAAAAAAGCTCAAAACCAACCTGGACATGCCGTGAAATGGCACCCCTACCATTTACTACTATGGAGTAAATGGTAGGGGTGTAAATAATAATCGTTTTGTATCGATGCATCGATCCAACAGCCGACGATCCGATGCATCGACACGTCCGCAAGAGAATCGATTCATGTTTTTTTTTTTCCTCCGGTCTATTTTTATCCATTTGCTCCTGGGCGTAATTCTCCCTCCCGTGCTGCGGTGGCGCTAAACCTATTTTGCCCTCCTACCTCGCTTCCTGGTTATACTCTTACAGCAGTGTGTTGCAGTGAGCTTGACACAGACATTTTTAAATTATGTTCAATATTGAAGCGTGGTCTGTGCTACACGCTGTGGGTCTAGATACGGCTGAGGCGGCGAGGAAGTGGGGGCGAGTTTAGTCCGACGACGGAGGGACATGAGGGCCAAAAAGAGCGGAGATCCAGGTGGAAAAAGGGTCTCAGCGTTCTCGCGCACCTCGCTCTTCTAGCGGGTCAAACTTCTAGAGTTGTTTTCCGCAATTTCGGTCATAAAAGCAAAACAAGCCGGCAGGGGTATTATTAATTTTCAGTAAATGAGGTTTTAATAGGAATAGATTGAGTGCAACTTTTCTACTTCTGTTATTTGCTGTTGTTTCTAAAAAAAAAATGCATAATGATATTACAGCTTTCATTGATTTATTTCAAATTTAAAACATTGTCTAGCCTGTAAGGTGTAAAAAAAAAAAAAATGAACCAATTAATCGAATCTAATTGTATCGTGGTGTATTCTTGCGTATCAAAAATAATCGACTCATTGGATCAGGAAATCGTGACGAGAATTCTACTGTTTATGCTCTAAAGACATTCTAAATGACTTTGTTTCGAGTAAATTCTGGATGCTACCCACTCAGGACACTTGGAATACATTGGACGAGCAGTATGGAGGAATATTGACACGTTTTTTGTGGACTTTTATGGACCTTTCTGCCTCGGGCACCATAGACCTCCATTATTTGAATGTCAGCAGACAGCAAGAAGCCTCCCAGATCTCCAGATGCATTTGAGATATCAAAAAAGTACTCCAGAGTGTTGTTCAGCATGGGGGTGAGTAGAAAATGAAGGCTAATCATGTTTTGGGTGTACTATTCCTTTAGCTAAAGGAAATCATCAGAAGCAAGCAAGTGTTCTTCAAACTGCAAACGTGAATTATCTATGCGATGCTACAATGTTAGATTCAGAAAAAGATGTTGAAATGTCTAAAAGGTCGGACACATGCGAGAGCGTATCGGGAGATGGAGACCAACAAGACCTCCCTCATCCTTGGCCCTATCTCAAAGAATTTTTTAAAATAGTCGAAAAATTTAACTTTCAACTCATATAGTGGAATCTGGTTGTTTTTTTAAAGGTTACTTTATACTTTTATACTTTCAGTAGTTTTTGGAGCACATACTTTTTCACTTTTACTTGAGTAAAGAGGTCAAGATGATACTTCAACTTTTATCAGAGTGTTTTTAAACTGCAGTATCTATACTTCTACTGAAGTAACAAATGTGTGTAGTTTTGACACCTCTGATTTTACATGTGGTAGATGTGGAACACCTTTGATTTTCACATGTGAACGTATCAGATAGAAAACATCCACACTGGACGCAAAGATCCTTTATCTGTCGATGAAGCTCATGATGGCTGCAGGCTTCATGCAGAACACACCTTGGTTTTTCAGCGGCAATGGCATCGTCTCCCTGAGTTTGCTGAGTAGGTTTCGCATCTCTTTCATGTCTCTGCAGAAGGAATGAAAAATGACACGAAACAGAATGATTCACACTGTAAAAAAAAACTATAGATGAAGAAAAAGCAAAGGACCAGAAAAGGCACCTTTCTATGTTCTCAATGTCGATTCCCACCAGCCACGCCTCCTGAGGGTAATCGATGGGAGACGAGGATCTGTCCTCCAGGATGGGGACATCAGAGCTCTCGTCCATCCTGAAGTCGACTCTCGGCTCCTGGTCTGTTCCTGCTGGACCAAAACTCAACACTTAATTAAAGCAAAACAAACTTTAGACATGTTAATGTCCTGCTTTGTCAGGATTCTAGACTGTAAATTAAACGCAAAACATTTAAGGGAATGAAAACTCTGGCTTAAAGTATTTTTTTTTAGGTTTTTAGAAATTAAAATCCCCCCAAAAAAGGTAAAGTTTCTAAAGATCTTTTAATTGTAAATATTATAAAAAAAAATAACAGCTCTTTGCTGCCCTCTGCTGGTCATTGAAGGTAGGTTTAAATAGGAAAAGCTTGATAAAATTCAGTATTCAGTATTTAATCTGCTGCATATTAGGATTATCACCGCGGAAAAATATGCTTTTCGAATAATCTGAGGCTGAATATTTATCAGAACTTCCCTTTACTTTTTCCTCCATCTACAGAGTTAAAAAAAAACCACAGACTCCATCCAGCCATTATTAACTGAGTCACAGATGGAGCAGTAATGGAGGCGCTGCCATGTGGAAAATCTAAGTACACCCTGACTGCTTTCACTGGTGTTTGAAAGTTTCATCCATCAGAACCGTGTTTGCATCTTTGTAAAGGCAGATGTTTGGATGTTTGCTAATCTGGGGCAAGCGGGTTGGCGTAAGTTGATTTGAAAGGCAGCAAGACATTAGAAAAAAGTAAACGTTGCTTTTATTCACAAGAGTAAACAATTTAAAGTAGCTGAAAGTCCTCTTTTCAGGGTTCGTATGGGTGCTGGAAATCCTTGAAAATGCTTGCATTTTGACGTTGTGTTTTCAAGGTTTGAAAAGTGCTTATATTTTGGAGGAAATTCTTGAAATTGTAACTATTTCTTTCGCAACAAATACCTATCTAACTGAATCGCGTGTTTATTAAATGGAGAAATAAAATGTTGGAGAGCCCGAAAATGAAACCTGCTCTCTTATGTGTGACTGCGATCTGCCAGTCTATTTCCATGTGTGACTCCGCCCCCATGAAACCACTACTGCACCATGCCGGGAGGTTGTCGTTTCAATGAAAGTTGGCTGGAAGATGAAAAACACAAATTATGGATTAAACGGGGACAAACCCCACGAGTTGCCTCTTGTAAAGTCTGCAAAAAAGATGTGCAGCTTTTTCACAATGGGCGAGTCTGCGCTGTCGAGTCACATGAAGAGTAAGTCATAGACTTTTTAAGTAAGCCAACTGAAGTAGCCTAGCACACGTTAACGTTAGCGCCTATTTATTTAAGCTAGTAACTGCTAGCTAGGAATTCACAGGCTAAGTTACATAGTGACTGAGAGTACGGTGTGATAATGTAATGTTAGTATTAGGGATTCACGATATAATCGGCCCCCTATCGGTATCGACCTTAAAAGTGAATATCGCACATCGGTCACCCCACCGATATTTAACCCGATATTTGATCAGCTTCTGAGTTTCTAAAGTCTAAAAAAAAAATAAAAATAAATACTACTTCTTCTTCTTCCTCAAAAACTTCTTTTTTACAGACTTAAAAACTTTTAAAGACGAGGGAAAAATATTGATACATTAAAATATCACAATATCTTCATATGCTGATATATTGCCATTTAAAAACACCATATCAATCTCTTTTACTAATGAAATATTGCTATATGTCATCTTTATGCTACGAAATCCCCCGAAAACTCACGAAATGTTGCCATATTTTTATATGTTGATATATTGACGCGGTATCGATCTATTTTACTAACAAAATCTCACAAGAATTTCCAAATATCATGAGAGTTTGTAACAGAACGATGAAATTTCAAGAGATTTTGAAAGTAAAATAGATCGATACCGCGTTTTTAAACATCTATTTCATATCAGCATATGAAAATATATTTGAGTATATTATTATTCAAAGTGTCAGAAATGGATAACAAAGCTGCTATTTTCAATGACTACTTATTTTTTGTCCAGCTTTAACATCAGTATCGATATCGGTTATCGGCTACATGAGTTTTAAAATATCGGCATATCGGATATCGGCCAAAATCCCAATATCGTGCATCCCTAGTTAGTATTGCAGTGTTTCCCGCAGAACTATCTTGGCGAGGCGACCGCCTCACCAAACTCACGCTACCGCCTCGCCAACGTTCCAAAAAAACAAAAAAAAAGTTTTAATTCATTGCCAGGCCCAGACCTTAAAGCTACAGTGTGTAATTTTCAGCGACATCTAACGTCCAGACTGCAGATTGCAGCAACATGAACGTCTCCCCCCCACCGCTTCTCCCCCCCAACAGTACGGCGAGCGTTACGGGACAAAATGTCTTCCACGACGTCCGCATCACCTACCTTCTCAAGTGATGAGGTTTGTTTACATAGATAATTTTACAGATAGTATTTCATTAGTCTGTGTAGGGTATAGATTTCATGTAGACTTTAGATAATAAATATACCCGTTATTTTTTCTACGTCGTTGTGACGTTTTGGTGAGCTGCTTTGCATGGTGATATAAACAGACGAAGTAATTGTAGTCATTAGTTTAACAGCAAGATTGTGTTCGCTGGAAGAATATATATTCCCCGTTTACAGAGTCCAAGTCTTGTTTGTGGCACGGGGGTTACAAGGCGAGGAAGAGGGAGAGGAAGAGGGCGAGGAAGAGGGCGAGGAAGAGGGAGAGGAAGAGGGCAGAGAGGCCGGGGTGGGCGTGTAGCCAGGGCCAGCGGGGTGAATAGAGCAGAGGAGGAAAGGCTTGAAGATCTCCAAAGGAGCCGGAGAGAAGTAACGGAGGTATATATCCAGAAAATTATTTTACAGAAAATTACTGAATCATTACCTGTGAAACGTCAGGGACGTTGCTGAATAAGTATACTGGAGAGTAACAGCATCATCACGCAGCATGTTATTGTTTTAGACAGGTCTGAGCATCCTGTACTCCAAAAACTGCAGTGATATTAGACAATTGTGTGTGTAGGATTAATTACCTGTCCAAGAGAAAACTGGCAACTTGAGCGTCACTTTGAAAACCTTTTTCCTCCATGTTGATCCGTGTTTTTTGTCGTTTCTTGTCACGCTTGCGTTTATTCTCGTCGTGTTTCCGCTTCTCAGATGACGGGGCTTTTCGTTGTGATACAGAGTAGGCATGATCCTCCATTCGTCTGATATTTGGCCGCACAGTGCCAAACAGTTTGCAAAGTCACTCACGCCTGCCGCCTTGTTCACCTTTCTTGTTACTGAGGCGCAGTATACCTGCTTCTTCTTCTTCTTTGGTTTCAGGCAGACTAAACGCTTCTCAGGCATAATACTGCCATCTACTGTTCAGTACCGTCTCAGTTAATCTCTCTCAACTTGCCGTAGTTATTTTCGAGCGTAATGGGAGATCTCGCAATCGCTGGTTTGTTGGCTCTGCGCTGCCGTAGCGCAAAGATGTCTGCCTCCATGGCTGCGAGACCCGCTCCTATGTAATTATAAATAACGAATTCTAAGACAACGCAAATAATAAGGTTAAAAGGCTGAGCTCATAGGTGATGATAAATAACATAGTTATGTATAATATATTCAATTTCTGACTTTATATCCCTGTAATTATTACACACTGTAGCTTTAAAACAGCATCGATAACTCTACGGCTGATAATACTGAATTGCGACACCCTCTGGTTGGTTATATTACTACGCCATGGCAGAGGAGTCATTTTCTTTGATCATCCGAGGAGACGTGTGGGAGGAAAAAAACGTCTTTGTCGTCTTCATCATCGGTGGAATGAGCTGAATCTGATTGACTGTCTAACTCAAAGACGGATGTTTGTATTTTTATATTTTCAATAAATGAATTGAAAGTGAAGGGAACCTGTTGAGTGATTTTGTTCGAGGTAACAGTTTTTACATCGTCTCAGGCAGGTTAGATATCAAGCAACGTCTACTTAGACTCTGATACATTTGAAAACTTAAAACTTGTGTTTTGCTTAAATATCTGATCCTTCTGCTAACACAATTTTGGTTGTTTATAGCATCTCTTTTAATGCGATAAAAACAATAATTTAATAATAATAATAATTTAATAATAATAATTTAATAATTTTGACTACTGGTATGTATTGGTATGTAATTTATGGTGTGTAAGGTGCTGGAAAAAGTTTTAAAATGGATCTTGAATGTGCTTGAAAAGTGCTTGATTTTGACTTTGGAAAAGGTGTACGAACCCTGTCTTTTATTCTCCCAGAAAAAAAGAAGAGATAAAATAACTTATACCAATGAAGCACGGTAGTGGAGGGTGGATGATTTGGGCTTATTTTGAAGGACTTTGAACAAGCCTTTCATCAGCAGATCAATGATCCCAAAGTAATCGCCTAGGATACGACGGTCCAATCAAAGTCCAGACATCAGCCTCATGTAAAAGCTTTAAAAAGCTTTGAAAAACCAAATATCTTCAAACTTCCATTAGTGGGACCTTTGGCTGAATCTCTTTTTTTATATGCAGATTCTGTTTTGCTTCAATAAATCATGCCAGAGTGAAAACTGATCAGTTTCTGAACATAATTTTTGTGATATTCTAACAGATAAAACCATAGATAAATCGAGAACTATATATATATATCGTCTCTCTAAAGCTAAAAAAAAAAACAGGAAAGGTGTAAAGATAAAAGAGAGGATCTGTTTTTTCTTTGTGGACAGGTACTTTTTCTGTGAAGCTGCAGCACCCCCAGCAGGCACATGGACTTGAGCATCTCCGTTATGAACATCTCCAGGCAGCACTGCAGCTGGATGAAGAGACGGCAGATTTCAGGATGGATCTCTCCGTCCTCCGGCCTGCGATGATGGGAGAAAGACGGATGGAGGTGGAGGAGGAGATTCAGGCACACAGAGATGAAGGGCACATTATGAATGATTACAGCGCTAGATTTAGACTGGCTAATGTTTCCCTGCAGGCTCATATTTCATTTCTGCACAGATCGGTGCCCTTGATTCAGGCTTTTAACTGTAATACAGGAGGAAGGGAAAGAAAAGTTCTGCACACACTGATCAAAAACAGTATTTTTACAGATATTTCTCAATGCATTTTTTGTTTCTTGCTGTATAGATGTTTTTTTTCTATTGCATGCAATTTTAGTAGAGAAATATCCAGAAATCAACACAAATACACACATAAATGGTCAAATATAACACTATGACATTTTATTACAGTGTTATGAATGTTATAAAAGCTGGAGAAGCAATAATATGAATGATTGATATGATGTGAGATGCTGTGGAGTCTGGTTACCCTGATCCAGAGATGATGGCCAGGTCCTGGTGCGCAGCCCGGGCCATGGAGCAGCCTTTGGAGCGGGTTTGGTGCATCTGAGCCCGCAGTGCCTGACAGTCCACAGAGATCTCCCCCACAGATATCACCTGCTCCCGGTACAGAGCCACCAAGGTGTTGAATTCCTGAACAGTCTGAGCGAAAACAAACCAAACCGCAGCCAGTTTTTATCCATAAATCATTACCAGACCCTATTTTTTTCTACCCACCATCCTGCTGTCGTCCACGGCCGCCTCCGTGCTCTCCCGCCGCTCCGGCTCCGCCTGCGCCCCTTTGCTGATGGGGAAGATGCTCCCTGCGGATCTCGGGCGCTTTTTCCGGCCGTACGGTGCAGAACACATGCATGCAGCCCCTCCGCCGGAGCCCACCCAATGAGAGGAAACCCTAAAATACAGAAATGTCAAACCTGACACCCCCCCACCCACCCCCCTCCGGTCCGACAGGAAAAATGACTCAGCTCAGACGGTCCCCTCCCCCCGGCTGTTAGCGCTGAGTTCCCGGGGAAACAGGAGCTTGTGTCCGGCGGTAGGGAGCCGCAGCAGCCGCCTCTGCATCCCAGCCGACAGGAGAGTCACCTTCAGCCGCCTCTGAAGGCCGACAGGGAGGCTGCTCCGTCTTCCGCCTCTGCCTCACGTGTGAGGGAGCCAACGGCAAAACAAGTCGTCACCCTCCGAATGAAAATTAACCGTTTATGGGAGACCAGACGGTGCAGCCATTTAGATTAAAATAAATAAATAAAAAATAAAATACACGAAAGAAACAGACTTTTGTATTTATTTATTTTAATTATTTATTTTTTCCAGTCTGACCTTGGGGCACTGGAAATATTAACTATATCAATTAATTAAACATTTCAGACTTTTTGGATAATTTGGATACGGTTTAAAACAAAAATGGTAAAAAATAAATAAATAAATGAATAAATAATAATTAAAAAAATAAAATACATGAAAGAAACAGACTTTATTTATTTTTTTATTTACCATTTTTGTTTTAAACCATTTATCCAAATTATCCACAAAAAAAAAAGTCTGAAATATTTAATTAATTGAAATAGTTCATGTTTCCAGTGCACCAAGGTCAGACTGGAAAAGTTCAGAATGAAAACTTCTTTAATTATGAAATTATTACGTAGCGTTGAACGTGAGCGGTTCCAGAAAGGGGCCAGTGCCGCCTGTAGACCATGGCCACAGGGGCGGAGCTAGATTGGGGTAACCAATCTGTTAAAGCTACAGTGTGTAATTTTCAGCGACATCTAGCGTCCAGACTGCAGACCGCAGCAACATGAACATCTCCCCCCCACCGCTTCTCCCCCCCAACAGTACGGCGAGCGTTACGGGACAAAATGTCTTCCACGACGTCCGCATCACCTACCTTCTCAAGTGATGAGGTTTGTTTACATAAATAATTTTAACCCTCTATGGCATGAATTTTTATTTTATGAGGGAAAAAATATTTCACCCTAGTTTTGGGAGCTTGAGGGGGTCTTTATAAAATATCAATCAGAAAATGTGCTCCATCCTGCCCCCCCACCAGATTTTGGTTTGTTGTCTCAGGGCAACAATATGCTATGAGGGTACTAAAACGCCAAGGTTTTCTTTAAGTGGAATGATGAACAAACAAGCAATAAATACATTAGAAGAAGTTTTATTTCAAGTTTTATTTCAATTTCAACAAGTTTCCTTTCAACAAACAGCCACAAATGGTTTATTAATTAGTGCATTAGAGATTAGCTGCAGTGTGTTTATGTTTCTAAATACATGTTCCTGTGGGGTACTGAATGGCTCTGTGTTTCTCTTTTTTTACAAAGTACAGTTTGTGTTATTCTGTATGGAACCTCATGAAACAGTTGCTGGTGGATGTGAAACAAAGGTGGGCGTCACATTTTTGGCACTTGGCTTTAGGTGTACCTGTGCATCTTGGTACCTTCCATCTCCCTTTCTTTTCATCCATGACCATCCAGTGGGCTGTGGCATCCAGACGCACATTAGGGACTGGGATAGGTGTAGTGGGTCCTCTTCTCCTCTTCTCTTCGTACTCCCCAGCAATTGTGGAACTGGGACGACCTCTCTTGCGCTCCAGATTCTTGCCACTTTTGCACAAGCTTTCTACAATATACAACTTGAATGTATAAAGCCTCATCTCATAGGAATGAGCCTAACCACTTGATCATGTTCCTTACGCCCATAAAATCTTTGTGCATCCATTTCCTGTGATTAATAGTAGATAGTACAGAAAAAAAATTATAATGTTGATAACTACACATCCCTACACATCTCCATCCATGAGCATGTTATAGTTCACACAAAAGTGGTCTAACTGCACAATGTTGCCCTGAGGCAACGAATGAAAAACTGCCATTTTAGTATATAAATGAAGACAAAAGGTGTCTTTACTCAATGAAATATGCTTTTTTACTTATTCATGCACATCACAGATATTATTTATACAAAATTATTTAAATTTAAACATGTAAAAAAGTGAAATTTATCTTACCTTCTGCTAGCGGTGTGTCCAAGTCAGCTGCGGTCCAAAAAAGGATTGTTTCACTCCAAGACAAAGGTCAAAGCCACGCCTAGCCCAAATTTCATTGGTCACAGACATATCATCAGACTTTTAATGTGATGTTTTACTTAAAAAAATGTTAAGGGGCGGTGTGTGGGCCAAAATAGTGGTTTGTTGCCTGAGGGCAACAGAATGCCATAGAGGGTTAATACTGCCATCTATTGTTCAGTACCGTCTCAGTTCATCTCTCTTAACTTGCCGTAGTTACTTTCGAGCGTAATGGGCGATCTCGCAATCGCTAGTTTGTTGGCTCTGCGCTGCCGTAGCGCAAAGATGTCTGCCTCCATGGCTGCGAGACCCGCTCCTATGTAATTATAAATAATGAATTCTAAGGCAACGCAAATATTAAGGTTAAGAGGCTGAGCTCGTAGATGATGATAAATAACATAGTTATGTATAATATATTACATTTCTGACTGTATATCCCTGTAATTATTACACACTGTAGCTTTAAGATGTTTATAATGTCCTCAATTGTAATACTACGGAAGAGGATTAGGGCCACTAAAGAAAAAAAAAAAGTTAACTGATTTTTTAATTTTATTTCAGTTTAGTATGAGAAAAAAGTCAGAATTCTGATTTTTTTTTCTCGGAATTCTGACTTTAATCTCAGAATTCTGACTTTTTTCTCAGAATTCTGACTTTAATCTCAGAATTCTGACTTTAATCTCAGAATTCTGACTTTTTTCTCAGAATTCTGAGATTAAAATCAGAATTCTGACTTTTTTCTCAGAATTCTGACTTTAATCTCAGAATTCTGACTGAATTCTGACAATAAAAAAAGTCAGAATTCTGAGATTAAAGTCAGAATTCTGACTTTTTCCCCATACTATACTAGCCTGGGTGCCATTCCGAACTTAGTCCCGCCCACAAGGTTTGAGATCGGGAAGTTCGGTCTGGCTCTGCTCCACAGTAGCGCGAGTATGATCGCCCACCCTCTGGCGATCCAATCAAATTGTCAGGGCGGGCTTTATACGACGATGGACAGATGATCAACAGTAACGTAATCAACCACGTGACCAAAGCGCGCTTGGGTGACAACAACAATGGCTGCCGCTGGATAGTTAAGGTGAGTAGATTCTGCTATTAGGTCTGTTCTAGAAGATATCGACAGCAAAATAATTTTAAAAGAGGAACAGAGAAACGCGATCAAGGCTCATCTTCTTATTCTAGGCGTGCAACTGCACGCTTTGATTTTTGTTGACGACAACTATGCCTCGCTTAACATACGTCACGCACTCCGTTGCTCTTATTGGTTGTAGGTCTATCCAATTGAGTGCAGAGGCATTTTTTTTCCTGGTTCGTTAGAAACACGCCCCATAATCACAGCTCTATGGAGCAGTATCAGACTCATATTCTGACTAGAATTGAGTAGGACTACGTCAGGCTAATACTATACCGAAATAAAATAAAAAAAATCAGTTAACTCTTTTTTTTCAGTGGCCCTAATCGTCTTCCGTAGGTAGCCTACTGTGGATGGATCAACATATTTATTCAGTTAAATTTTTTCCCATATTGTTGATCCATGACCTAAACTTTGGTATTCAATGCTCTAGACTAGATGACAAAGGATTACTGTGTTGTTTGTTGACCCAAGCCATAATAAATGGAAAAAACTATAACAACACAATAAACATTTCAGTCATGTTCTTCAAAAATAAAGAGGAAGTTTATTTTACAAGAAATTGGAAACACTTTATGCAGCGTTCCTTTCATCCATCCATCCATCTTCTAACACACTTAATCCCAAGTGGGACGGCGAGGGGTACCAGTGCCTATCTCCAGCTGTCTACGGGTGAGAGGCGGGGTCCACCCTGGGCAGGTCGCCAGTCCATCAACACAGAGACAAACAGGACAAACAACCATTCACGCACACACTCAAACCTAAGGAGAATTTAGAGAAGCCAACTAACCTAACTGTCATGTTTTTGGACTGTGGGAGTACCTGGAGAGAACCCACGCATGTTCAGGGAGAACATGCAAACTCCATGCAGAAAGACCCTGGGCCGGGAATCAAACCCAGAACCTTCTTGCTGCAAGGCAGCAGTGCTACAGCAAAGAGCTCGTCTGCCGAAAACCAAAACTCAAAAGATGAATTTGCTTAAAAATACAGCGAGACAAAAGAGTAACTTTACAGCAAAGATGAACAAAATCATGTCAATGTGGGAGAAGGTGTGTCGGGGCAGACCCAGGACGTTGAAGGCTCCTGCTGTTAAGCGCCAGCGTCTCCAGGCGGCCGAGACGCTTCGGCGACCAGCTGCAGAAAAAAAGACGATAGTGAGGCTGGTTTATTTCTATAACACAATTCAGTAGAAATCAATTGACAGTGCTTCGCATGAATGAAACAATAAAATATAAGGAAAATAAAAGGCAAGTAAAGATAAAGCTGTGTGATGGTGCGGCTCTTTCTTCAGCCTCCAGGATGCTCATCAGAAAACAACCAGATGGATTTCTAACAGATCTCAGCAGGTTTCACTCACAAACTCTTTTTATTTCTCTGCCTTTCTCATTTTTTGTTATATTCAAATTAGGGGGAAGAGTTTCCTGTAGTGGTCAGAGCTTAAAGGAATAGTACACCCAAAACATGATTAGCCTTCATGTTCTACTCACCCCCATGCTGAACAACACTCTGGAGTACTTTTTTGATATCTCAAATGCATCTGGAGATCTGGGAGGCTTCTTGCTGTCTGCTGACATTCAAATAATGGAGGTCTATGGTGCCCGAGGCAGAAAGGTCCATAAAAGTCCACAAAAAACGTGTCAATATTCCTCCATACTGCTCGTCCAATGTATTCCAAGTGTCCTGA